CCTGAAGGAAGGGGTCTTGGGTGTGAAGTGCCTGGTGGCTTTTAAAGAGTCACACTGAGTGGCATCAAAGGAGGCTCCAGGAAGGGACTGGGCATGGCTCCAGAGATGAGAATTCGTCTCATGACAGAGAGGGACTTTACTGGGGGCAGGAGAGGGGGAAAACTCTGGCCATTCACCAGTGTTGAGGGGTGGAGATTTATGGAATTGCCAGAAGACGCCGCAGAGAGGAAGGGCATTAACAAGCAGCTTACAATGGATGTGGCCTCACACATTTAGGAGACTATGAGGTACCCGGCTGTGGGAAAGAAGATGGTGTGTTGAAGAATATTTGAGTCATGAGATTCTGAGAACCAAACATTTTGAAGACAGGAAGTGAGGGCTTACATGTTCAGAGAGGCGTGAGGCCTTCCCTCTCTTCTTCCCTTAATTCCCTATTCCTACGCTGGTCGTCCTTTGGGAGACGACCAGGGAGAAGGTAGCTCTTCTTAGCATCTGGCTGTCCAGGGATCAGGGTGGGGGAGGAGGTAAGTACACTGTTTGGATGACCAGAGACTGGAGGGGCCTCTCTGTCCACAGCATGCTCAGGAGTCAAGAGTCAACCCACCTCTCCCCACCTGATCTTCATAGCTAGGGCAGAGGCCAACTCTACAGGTTGACAGCCGCACCTGGCTGTCACTGGGTGCAGTGACGAACTTAGGGAAGAGTGGAGGAAAGCGTGGCATAGCCAAGCCTGATGACAGAGGAGCTTCCCGAGATGAGATCTGAAGGTGGACAAATGACCAGGAAAAAAAAAGAAAAGGGGACCACCAGGTGTGCATGCTCAGGTGCCCAAGGGTCTCCCTGCTCCATCTCTGCTGTCTTGCTAGTGTCACTGTCACATGCCGTCTATGGGGACACGGTGAAGGGAAGGCCTTAAGGGAGTCGGAAAAGTTAGATCAGTGACATCGGAGTGATAAAAGTAGGCTTAGCTTAAGAGATCAGTTGGAGAATGTTCACAGGAAGAAAAATTGCGTGCTGTCACCTGTGTGGGGTAATTAACTTGGGCACCTTTCTGGAGAACTGGTCTTTGAGCTTCCTACCGGCCCCTAGAGTAACTAACTTTAGGAAACTCCATCCCCTTATGGACGGTGGTCACATTTCCTCAAGTTTACCCAAGTTGCAGGTCAGACAGAAAGATGAACACTTGGGCACTGTGTCTAGGCCTCACAAAACTTTCAGAATTTCATGTCTCGATGCTTTCTTGGAGACCCTACTCATATTCTCTAAATAACAAAGATCACTGACGGGGCTGGTCATCATAGCTCAGTGGTAGGAAACAAACAAACAAACAATAACAACAACAAGAAAACCCCCTAAACCACCACCAACAAAAAACCCACTAGGAGTTAAAGCCCCGGCACCGCAATACCAACAACCACCACCCAGAACTTAGATCACAGACACCTGAGGCCTAGGACAGCTCAACACATGGTGGATCCAGAGGGAAAAAAATCTGCTGATACATACAACCAAAACACAACAGAGGAGCTGCTCCAGGCTGCAGCTGGGACAAGCAGGTTAGACCTCAAGGGACACTGCTCTACTGGGAACAGGAAAGGGACACGGGGAACCTTAGCTTAGGTACAACTACACACACACACACACACACACACACACACACGCACGCACACAGTCTATAGTTAAGAATGTCAATGATCCTAGGAGGCAATGGGACACGGAAGAGAAAGGGGAGATGGGAAATTTTTACTGGGATGAGAGGTTCCCACAAGAGTCCAAGATGGGGATTCCTTCGAGCCCTGTTCCAACCATCAAAACCCATATTTTGGTATACCCTGAATCTCTATCCCCCCAGGAAGCAGAGGAGACAAGAGAGGAATCACCAGGACGGAGAATAAGAGGAGATAAGCACAGGCCATGTGACAAGATGGGAACTGGGGTAGGAAACAGAAGCTGAGCTGAGGGACAAGTGACAGCGTGGACCTAAGAGAAAAGGAAGTAAAGATGGTGATGTATGCTTGGGGCAAGGGAATGGACCAGAGGGTTTCAGCCAACATGGGGCAGACCCACAGGGCGCTGAGACGTGGGACCCAGGAGCAGCAGTGGTGTACTAAGGTAGTTATCAGGAGAGTGGGAGGGAGGGAGAGAGAAGAGATATAAAATAGAGACCAATACAGGGGAAGAACAGAAGGGGGACTCATATAAGAAACGGACACCATATGGGGGGAAAGATATAAGTGACGGACAGCAGAGGCAGGGAGGGGGAGTGGGAAGAAGAGGTGGGGTGGGGGAAGGGGTCAAATCGATTAAGTGAGGAGGAGAGCAGATGAGACCCAGGGGTGGCCTCTCACTTCTCAGGAATCCTAACGAGGGCTAGTCACCCGCGGGGTTTTACCTGGCCCTTGCTACCATCCCTCAATCTCACTTGCATCTCCCCCCACCCAACCCAAAAAAAACACTTGATCCTCCCCCTTCTCTGGTGTCCCCTCCCCCAACCCTTCTCTCTCTCCTCTCTTCCCTCCATCTGGACCCCCCACCCCCCCACTGCCACCCTCTTTCTCCATCTGGCCCCTTCCCTCCCTCCATCCCCCCTCTCCTTTCCTAAGTCCTACCACCCTGAGCCCCTCACCAAATCCCCTTCCCACCTTCTTGGTCTCTCGCGCCGCCTGCGTTTTCAATTCCCCTGTCTACCCTCTCCTAAGACCGTGCCTCTATTTCCTTGGTAATTTCTTCCTCACTCAGCTCCCGAACCCAAACGGTTCCTGCAGCCTTTTCCCAAACTCAGTCCTCCCTTCTCATCCCTCTCTGACGCGCTTTTCCCACCATCATCTTCCCCTCAGCCCCCTTCAGGGCCCGCGTCCCAGCCCCTCTATCCCTCACCTGCCCCTATGCCTACAATCCCTCCTTTCCCACTGTTCCCACCTCTGCCTTCCCAGCCCTCCCCTCTCCCTCCATTTCAGCCGCTCCTTCCCCTCGGTGGCCCCGGCCCTCCCCCGCCCCCTGCCCCTCCCCCTCCTGCCCCCCCATTTGGCCCTCCCCTCCCCTCACCATCACCGTACCTCTGAAGGGGGCATAGGACATCGCGGGGATGCTCCCCCGATGGATGGAGGCTCGAGACCTGCTCATCAGGCCTGAGGGGGAGGGGGCGGGGGGACGGGGGAGAAAAAAGAAGAGAGAAAGAGGGGGAGAGAAAGGGGGAGAAGGAGGAGGTGGAGGAGGAGGAGGAGGAGGAGAGAGGAGGAGAGAGGAGCGGAGAGGAGCGGAGAGGAGGAGAGAGGAGGAGGAGGAGGAGAATAAGAGCCAACGGCAGCAGCGGCAGCAGAGAGAGAGGGGGGGCGGGGGAAGCGAGCTGGAGAGGAGAGAGCAGGAGGAGGAGGGAGAGACTGCAGCCCCCACCCCTACTCAGGGAGACCCGGAGAAAGGGAGAGCGAGGGACCCCTGACTCATACACACTACAGAGGGCAGTCCTGAAGAAGCTGACCCAAGACCCTGACACAGACCCCAGACCCAGAGAAAGGTACTTCACCACCACATCACCCCTCACTCCATACTCAACAAATTGGGTCTCACAGACCCAAATCTAGAAGGAAAAGAGACCTCTGAGCTCAGAGACCCCCTCTCCCCCCAAATTAAAGGAGTCATGGGTCAGAATCTGGGAATCCAGTCTCAGCAAGGTTCTCCTAGACCCACGTTAATCTTACTCCAACCCTGGGCTGGTAGTTTGGGGGAACCAAAACGGAGACCTAGACCCAAAGAAAAAGACGAAGCCAGTATCAGAAAGAGCCCCAGGCCAGAATTCGATTTTTAGAATCTAGCTGGAGATAAGAAACCCCACGTTCACCTCTCAAAGCAACTGCAAACTTGGGGGTGAGGGAGGAGACATTCGGCTGACCCGAAGATGAAGATGACCACACAGAGATGTAAAAAACACATCTCAGAGATCTGAGTTGCTGATCCCGGGGCGCAATGCCCCGAAACAACTGACAGGTAACTCAGACCCCAGGAAGGGCCCAGATATTGACCCCCGCCCCCCTCACCTACACACACACACACACAAGGATCTCTGAGACCACCACCCCCAACTCAAGAGGAAAATGCAGGAGGCTAACATCAGCCACCCACCCACGCCAAGGACCCCAGACCTTGGAGGGAGGGCAAATATTTGGGCGGCAGGGCCCTTTTTTCCTGCTGTCTCCTCCCTCTTCTCTGGCCTCTCACTGGTCCCCTCTCCATTTTTGGGTCACTGGATGTGTTTAGGCTCCAGGGAGGTTATGTAGGGCAGGTCCTGGCTCCTTGGTGGGGGGGATGGATGAAGGTAAGGAGACCCAAGACTGAGAGGCGGGCCGGTCCTGGGGAGAAGGATCAGCAAGAGAGGAAGAACAGGGCCATCCCTCTGAACTCTTAACCTGCAACCCGCCATCTCTCCTTCCGTCTCACTCGCCAGCCAGTCTGTCCCTAAGCTCTTGGGTTCTCGGGACCTTCCATCACCCACTTAGCCCATTTACAGGTGTCACCCAGTGCTTTGAGAAGGTGTCTTCCCTCACCCAGCCACGGCAGGGCCATGCCTGAGCCTGCCTGATCACTGCCCCCCTACCCAGGGGACAGCTGGCTTCTCAGCTCGGTGCTAACGCCAGGGCTGGGGGGAGGGAGGAGGGGACTGTTACTAGGCACACTCCGGGGCTCAGGACTACTCCCCGGCCCCAGCCTGACGCAGCGACAGCGCGGGTCGCCAGGTCTCGCGTCACGTGGCCCGCCAGGCCGGCCGGCGATTGGCCACCGCTCGCTGCTCCTGAGGCGGCGCCGCGTGAGAGGACGGGCATCGTCACGTGACGGCGGGCCGCCGCAGCGGCGTCCGCCCCCCGCCCCCCGCCCCCTGCCAGCAACGGGCTGAGGCTTCACGGAAATGGGCGGGGCCGCTTCGGCGCACGTCCTCAGATCGAGCCGCCGATTGGCCAGAGGGCCGGACGCCCCGCCTCCCGTCGGGCCACTCGAGGGCCGGGATTGGTCAAGTCTGGAGACTCCGGGAAAGGCAGGGCCGCTCCTGTCACGTGGTGCGCACTGTTTTCTCGTCACGAGGGCTGCTGCAGGTAAGAGGAGGCCGCTCCGCCGGGGCTCGGGGGTCCTTCCTCCGCGAGATGAGAGGCCTCTGATCTCTTCTTCTCTCTACCAGCGCGGGCTGCATGAACTGGGGGCGGGCCCCCGGCGTCCTGCTCGGCGGAGGGGTGAGTCTGGCCCCGCCCCTTCCGGTCTCGAAGTCTTCCCCCGAGCTTCTGCAGCCGAACAGAGGAGCTGTCCCAAGTTTAAGTTGCAGGGACATTTTTTTTATTTTATTCCTTCCTGGTGCAGAAGAGGCAGGGCAGAGGCTTGGTGCCTGGCCCAGAAGGCACCCCGGGTGCGGTTTCCCGGGGCAGTTGTGGCGACACTGAATCCGCCCCCCCTTCCCCGCTCCAGGCCACGCTGCTCCTGTCTTTTCTTTGGATGCCTGCGCTCCTGCCGGTGGCCTCCCGCCTGCTGTTGCTACCCCGAGCTCTGCTGTCCATGGCTTCAGGAAGCCCTCCGTCCCAGCCCCCTCCGGCCTCTGGCTCCGGCTACGTTCCAGGATCAGTCTCTGCAGCCTTCGTCACTTGTCCCAACGAAAAAGTCGCCAAGGAGATCGCCAGGTGAGGACCTCGGCCTGATGACTTACGAGGGAGAGTTGGGGGCAGGGGCAACTTCAGGCCGTGCGCACTCTGATCTCGCTTCACCCTCAGGGCAGTGGTAGAGAAGCGCCTGGCAGCCTGCGTCAACCTCATCCCGCAGATAACGTCCATGTGAGTTGTCAGAAACTTTTAACTCTAACTTGAGGGGCTGAGAGCTTTTTCTGGGAGAAATCTTCCTTTCCCAAGACTTTGTTCCCTTCTTTCTCTGACCTCTTCAGCTATGAATGGAAAGGAAAGATCGAGGAAGATAGTGAGGTGCTGATGGTGAGAAAATTCCTCTCCTGCCCCGCTCTGTTGACAACTCTGCCCCTCACCTGACACCAGTTCCACCCCTTTGGTTGAACGGTGTCTTTCTTTGCCCTTTAGATGATTAAAACCCAAAGCTCCCTGGTTCCTGCTCTGACAGAGTTCGTTCGGTAAGAACTTTGAGGTTTTCTTTTGGTGGTGGTACAGGGGGATGAACCAGGCAGGGCCTTGAAGCACTCCAGGCAAGCCAGCACCCTGCCACCGAGACACATTCCCTCCAGCTTGGTGAAGGAGCTCCTGATGGACACTTGTCTCGTGGGACTTACTGGGGAGTCCAGGGCTGGTGTCTTAGGGGGTGTGTCTTGGGTGTCTGAATAACCCCGCCCTGTCACTTCCGCAGATCTGTGCACCCTTATGAAGTTGCCGAGGTGATTGCTCTGCCTGTGGAGCAGGGGAACCCCCCGTACCTGCACTGGGTGCACCAGGTCACAGAATCAGTCTCAGATTCTGGTGCGGCCCTACCGTGAGGAGCCCTGTCCCTGCCACAGCGTCCTCTGCTTAATTCCCCCCTTCCATGTGATGACTGAGCCCCCAATAAATCCTCTCCTGCTCTCGATGCCTTTTCTCTCGGGACATGCATGTGGCCGGGAAGGATGGCGAGTGCCTCTGTCCATCTTTCAGAATGACTCGTGGCTGCTCAGTCTTTATTTACCTTTATTAAGAGTCATACAGTCTGGAATCCTGGACCCCCCCAGCCCCCCCACCTCTAATCCCAGGGGTTAAATAGTTTTAAAAAATATCTCAAAAGCTGTAACAAAATAACATCAAAGGAAATGAGGCGGCGGGTTAGGAGTCATGAAGGGGCCGAGAAGAGGAACTCTTCCCCATTCCCCTGGATTCCAGCCTGGGCAGGAGGGAGAACCACTCCCTGTCTCTCCAGGTACATCCCAGCTGTAGGTGAGGTCAGAGGTCAGGGGTCAGGGCATGAAAGTGCCAGTGTGGATGGGGAGGTGAGCAGAAGTGAACTGTCAGAAGATGCCCCCTCCTCCCCACTCAACCAGGTACTGCACAGAGCCGTCAGGCCGCACCCTTCGAGCAAGGATCCTGACAGGGTCCCCTCGGGACAGGTAGCTAACCCCACCTCGGACTCCTCCCCCAGTCCCCGGAGACAAACTACGGCACAAGGAAGAGGGGGACAGTGAGTGTCTAGAAAGGCCTGGGGTCAGGGCTGGGACCGAGGAAGATGAGGCAGTCACTGAATGGGGAGGACTTTTAGGGATGTCTGTGGGGAAGCCAATGTGAAGTTCCAGAGGTGACCTGGAAGAGAGAAGACCACAGTAAGATTCAGACTGGCCAGACAGATGTGGGCGGCCATGACTGATACTAGACTTAGCCGCATAAGGAAAGGAGGGAACTGGTGCAGACAGGACAGACTTACCTGTCTGGGGGTTCGCTGTCCCCAGAGGACCCTGCAGTGCTGGCAGAAGGGTGGAAGGAGGCGAACATCCGGATGGGGCTGCTGAGGTGGGAGACAGGCAAGTCAGCACCGATAGCAGGGAAGCATGTCTTCCCTGGGGAAGGCAGAGCGCACATACTACCGCTAGTGCGCCTGCGTGCTGTGGCTCTGCGCGTCTCTTTGGGACAAGAATCCAGAAGTGAAGGTGGACAGGGCAAAGAGTTGCAGGTGACAGGGTCTGGAGAAGGGAATGACTGGGGCATATCTGGACCAGGCACTGACCTGGGCAGACAGCGGGCGTCTGTGGGCCGGAAGTTGTAGCCGCTGCTGCCCTGGTAGCTCTGGTTAGGGCTGGGGGGTGGTGGAGACACTGAGGCCTGTAGGAGAAGGCAGAGGGGCTGTCAGATGACCCAAGCTTGGTTCCTTCTCGCACCCCACCAGTGTGCCCCACGGGATTCCCCTGCCCTTGTACCTGCAGGGCCCTCTGCTCCCGGGACCCATGCGGGCTGTGCGCCGCTGTGGGTGGCCCCTGGTCCTCCGCTTTCCCCTTCTGCCTCCTCCTCCTCAAGGGTTTTGGCTCCGACCTCCGTCGTTTCCCCAGGGGACGTGAGACCCCTCCCCCAGGGCCCTGCCCTGAAGGGAAGCTGTAAGAGGCCTCCTTATCCCCCCAGCCCCCTCCCAGACACCCCAGACCCCCATTTCTGTACATGTACCCTCCAAACAGATCCTTGAGAAGTTCCCCCATCCCCCCTGGACCAGTGACCTGGTGGGGGCTCCATCTTCAGTGAGAAGCTCCACGGGAGGAGGGGTCCGAGCATGGAGACCGAAAAGGCATTTCCTCTTTTTAATCTCCCTCCCTGAAATGAAACTGGGGCAAGGGGAAGGTCGGCAGGTCCGTCCTGGCCGTAGCAAAGTTCCCCTCAGACTAGCACCTAACCCCTGAGCCTCCCTCTTCTGACTCACCGGTCCTTGTGGCTGTTAAGAGCAGAAAGGAGCTTGGAAGAACGTTCTCCCTTGGGAGTGTCCGAGAGCTGAAGGAAGAGGGTAAATGAGTCAGGGAGCAGACATTCCTCATCGCACCCCACTTCCCAAACTTTAGAGCAGCCCTTACCTCCCCCAGGAGCAGACTGTCCCAGTTCTCGGAGGTGAAGGGGAGGATCTCTCGGTCAAAATCAAAGTACTTCTTCTTACAGCAGACGCTGAGATGGTAGAGAACAAGATGGGCCACATCCACCCTGGAAGAGCATACGACTGTCAGCAATAGCCAGGCCAGCAGTCATCAGGGTAGAGAACAGACATGAGTCCCGTCGAGGACACAATCCACCTCACCAGCGAAGCTGTAACCTCCGGACCTTCTCAGGGCCACCCCGGCACACACAGCACTCAAATTCATAGAATCTGTACATGGGCAGGACAGGACGCACCCAGCTCAACCCTCCGGTACAAGCTGCGGAGGGCTAACCAGTCGGGACTGCAGGCGAGCATCCCGGCTCACCTGTCTCCGTAGAGGAGGGGCTTGCTCAGACACTGGGTGCAGGCCTCGTGGAACCACTGGAGGCAGCTCCGGCACTGCAGCATCTTCAGGTTCCACCTCAAGGGGAAGACGGCACGTGTGGCCCTCAGACAGCCCCCTCTCCACCACCCCCCACATTCGCTCCCCTTTGTCCTGGGCTCTGCCACCACGACACCCATCCCACGACACCCATCCCACAGCTGGCCACCCTCTGCACTGACTCTCCGGGGCCTCCACAGTAGCAGTAGCTCTGCTGTCTGTTGCTCAGATGCCCAGCGTCCCAATCCAGCGCTTTTAGTCCATACGGCAGAGAGAGCTTCATGCCCAGCATGGCCCGGGCATAGGGACCCTTCTTCAGGGCGCCTCCCCTCTGCAGGGAACAGATGGAAACCTCAGAGAGGCAGCGAAGGAGAAGAGGAGAGCTCCCGGGAGGCTCCCACACAAGGGGCAGAGAGGTGTCTTTACCTTAGTGGCAATTGCAAAGACACACTGGCGGCAGACCCAGGATGTACCCTCTCCTTCTCCAGGGGCTGGGGCCCTGGGAACGTGACAGTCCTGGTGGTAAGCTGAATAAGGACAATGTTGAGAGCAGACCGCTGCGTGCATTTAAGTCCTGACCACGGTCCTGCTGGGTGTGTCTCATCCCAACATTGCAAGAGAGTAAACAGGCTTCTAGCAGTTGAGGGCCTTGCCCAGGGAAGCATGGTTACCAGACGTATGTAAGCTAGCCCCAAGCCCCCTCAGCCTTGCGTGGCCTCTGTCACCTTCATCTACCGCTCCCTCTCCCTGTACTGAGAGATGAGGTGACAGGGTGAAGACTGGCCAGGACAGGAGGTAACTCGTGCTACAAAGACCCAGGACACCTGCACCATCAAAGTATCCCACCCTCTCACCGTGGCGACACTTCTCACAGCTGACCAGCCGGTTCCCAGGGGCCACGGTCTCAGAGCGACACACACAGCAGAGGAGCTCCTCCCCGGGGAGGGCAGCTGTAAGGGAGCAAAGTGTCAGAGGTCTACTTCCAGCCAGTGTCCCCACCCACACCAGCCTCTGCTGTCACGGGCTGCAGGCTCGAGGGTCTCACCTGGGCTGATGTCCTTCCAGAGAACCAGAAACTGGGAATCATCCTCAAACTGGACCAAGCACACTTCCCGAGCACTGTCCACCTGGAAGGATGACCAATGATGATAACATGGGGGCGGGGTCAGACCCAGAGACTGGAAGGCTGAGAGCAGAGGCGGGTCTTACCTTTTTGATGGTACCCAGGTACAACAGCCCATCAGTCCATCTGGCCAGCACATCTTGACCCTCCCAAAGCCGAGGTCTGGGGCCTGAGGTGGGAGCAGGGGAGGCTGGATCCCAAAGAGAGGGGGCACCCAAACGGCTCAGCCGGGGGAGCTGCGCCATTGCATCCTGGGGAGGGCTATTCCGAAATAGGATGGTTAGAGTTCGTGAGTGCCGAGGAAGCTGTCACGGATAAAGAAACCCTAACCCTGACCGAGCATCCCCAAGCCCCGTCTCCTAACCCTTTGGAGCCCTAGGGAGGTGGGTCGCTCTGGTCAGCCTCTCGACTCCACTCCTCTCCCCGCCCGCTGGCTCAGTGCTATCAGTTCCTAGGGCCCTCAGGTGAACAGAGTTTGCAGAATCAAGGCTACCACTTAGCTTCACCTTGCCCAGCTGTGTAGCGGGATCTTCTTAACTGGGGCAATCTGTTGCCCAGACATGTTTTGGGGGCTTTTCTGATTAGATACAGCTGTCTCCCCAGGCCCGCGTTGTCTAATTTAGAACCTCCGTGCTGGTGCCAGGTTATGTTAGGTCACCCTCAAATTTGGGGCTCCTTGACCCGGGATTAGATAACTTCCCTGAGTGCCCCAAGAGGGGGGCGTGTCCCTGTCCAAGTCTCTACTCCCCTACGCTGCCAGTGCAAGGAGGGACTTGAGTCGCCCCAGCAAGACCCTAAGCTGGGACCAGGAGGCTCTCCCACCCCTTCCTGCACACCGACCCCTGGCTCCCTGCCCCCCTATCCGGGCCTCCCGCTTTCTCCTTACCGGTGACTGCTGGGGCAGCTGGAAGCCAGGTAGGGGCAGACCCGAGACACCTGGGTGAGTCCCGGGTGCGGGAAGACTGAGTGTGAGCGCCGGGGGGCGTGCAGGCGGAGGCCAGGGGGGTCCCCGGGCCCAGCCCCTCCGTCCTGGCGGCTCTGGGGCGTATGACGCAGCAGCCAAAGCAGCGGCAGCGGCAGGAGGAGTCGACAGAAGGAGGGAGGAGAGTGGAGGGTGGGGAGCACCAGGGGGAGGAGAAGACGGAGGGGCGGGCAGGCAGCACCTCCCTCACCTCCAGCAGGCCTGGAGGGCGCTGCGCTGCTGGGGGCGCGGCCGGTGGGGGAGGACGAGGAAATTCCCGCAGCCCCTTATAGGCTTGCTCTGAGGGCGGCAGGAAATAACCTTCTTGGCAGCAAGCCTGCAGGTCAGGGCCGGGCCCCGCCCCATGCCACATCCGTTAGCTGCCCCGCCCCCGTGGCCACTCCAAGCTCCGCCTCCGCTCGCGGCACCGCCCTCCCCATTCACGCTTCCTGTCGACCCGCCCTTCTGCGCACGCGTAACCCCGCCTGCCCACCGCACCTGGGCACGCAGCCACTCCTCCCGCT